CCCCTCGACTCGAAATGTTTATAATGTTCAACTTTCTAGTTGCTGATGGAAAAGTTTATATATTATGTCTATTTAATCAACTTAATCCGTCTTTGTGGCTGCTGGGAGACCGTATGTAATTCAGCCGGGCTTGGTCCTGACTTGCAAGTTTGAGGCAGCCCACCTCCTTAATTGTCTAAATTGATTCAGTTTCGGAGCACGTTTACAATCAAGTGGGAGTGGGGGTGGGGGCTGTTGTCTCTGCTATCTTTCTCAAGGCGTATTATTAGCGTCCCGTCGAGTGGAGATTGTGAGGCTCCGAGTTCCAGTCCAGGAGGGGAAGGATGGCGTGAATATTCTGTTTGCAGAGATCTGGGGCGTCTTAGTGAAGATTGGGGGATCCCTGTCGAGTACCGAGCTCCCACCTTGGTAATGAGTCGAATCGTCGCCCGCGCCGAGCTAAGACTGTCGGGATTGGGAATGCGGTTTTTGTTACACGTTATGACTGCGTGCCAATTGTATGCCCTACTTATTATTTTTTTCTTCTCTGTCTGTCGGTTAAGCCTGTCTTTAATGGTTTTTACCTATCTCTAAATATCTAGCACTGCATGATCGTTATCTTTTCGATACGCTTCTTTTTTATGGCAACCAAAAAGCGATGAGATACGTCGGTTCTCTACGTATGTGTGCACGAAGTTCGAACTGTTGTGCTGGATGGAACCGCAAAGCGTATGCCCGTGCGTGCTTGCGTGCGTGTGTGCGTGCGTGTGTGCGTGCGTGTGTGCGTGCGTGTGAGCGAGCGTGTGCATGTATGTCTGCCCTTGCACACCTTTGTTGATATTGTCCTCCAGTGAAGTGTGCAACCTACTCAATACGCCTTTGGCAGTCTGCCTGAACAAACCGGTTGAAGTGAATTGGCGTTCTCGTCCGGTTCGGCGTTAATTCAAGTGAAAACATAACAATATTGCCCTTTATGCGGTGCTGTTCTTAAGTGAAATAAAACGAAGAAACTTATTCCCCTTCCCAGAGAATAGTACC